TTCATAAGAACAGATGAAATCTTTTTGTTTCAATGATTATGTTTCGTTTTGTCTGTGTTCTACCTCAGCTACTTCTTTTTTTACAGAATCATTAATTCTCCTCTATCGCTTCTACAATAAAATGAACTACATACATGAGATTGTGTAGACTATGAAGAAACAAATTTAAAACAATTCCTCTTTCACTCCGATGTCTAGATCATTATTCATTATCTTACTTGGTATTGGTGGACAGAGTCTCTGATTGAAAATTGGCACTGGATAACAAATAGGACGATTATGACAACGAGGATGATGAACACATCTATGGTTAGATTCGTAACAAGTGTTGTCTGAGTCTCTACATTCAACTAGCTCAGAACAATCGACGAATATATCGACACAGATACCAATATTAATAGCGCCTGCTATATAATAACAGGCACATGCACTATTAGGTGAACATCGATCATATTGAGATATTCCATCACAGAATTGGGATTTTACTTGTACTAATGATACATAAACTAATAGTAGAACATGTAAAACAAAACAAGAATCAAACCTGTAAGGCTGACAACGAAGATTGTTCGACATTAGATGAATGAGAATAAAAAAGAAGCAAATTTTAGAATTACCTGAATAAAACGAATAAGAAACAACGAACTATTGTCAAAAGCATCGTTTGCGTTAAAATTAGACAAATTAATGACGGTACTTATCTTTATATCTGCACGAGGTGATCCTTTAATAAATAGAAATTTGATATTGCTTCATCACTGTGTTAGACGCTAAATTTCGACAAAAAAAAGTAATCTTTATAGGAGAAAGTAGCATCTGCAAAGCAATATGAAATTACTTCTGCAATATAACCACTTAATAGACTGGTGTTATCATTCAATACATAAATATTATGATTGTCAATCATCGTCGCACTATATAATAGTGACTTCGGGTGGGTTTAAGTGCAAATTTTCTTTTTAATACTTATGTATTTATTCAGTGTGTTAGAGAAATACGTAATATAATGGAGTCGAAGCTAAATTCTATAGTCAACCACATTTGTTTCTGCTTTGGTCTGTGTTTTCGTTGATCTCAAGAACTTATTTGTTCAACAGCATCTCCAAGTTCCATGTTTGACATACACATGTGCAGTTTGAGAAATATCTTTTATGAAAATAATGAAATGGCTGCGAGTACCTTAAGGCTATCTCCTCCTCCTTGGATAGGTTTGAATATGGATAACGGTGAACAGAAAAGCAACTCCTACACCCACACCCTAGTTCATGCAGATTTTTCTGTCTTTTTGAAAACTTTCAGGGTTGATGCGGGTGTGTCGATGCTTAAATTCATCTCGTCATACACACCAACACTCGTACCTAGTACTTGATTTCTTTCTGATTCGAATTTTCAGTAACTTCTTATCTATCTAGAAATGAATTGTCTCACAAAGAATAGAATATTTGCTCGAGCAAACATTTTTCAGAGATAAATAGTCATTTATCTAGATGATTAACGTACTTTCTGAGGTGCGTTTTAATATTATTTGACAATGGCGTAGCGAAATCTATGACATCTGGACCGGAGAATGAATCACAAAAGTTTTCAATTGTAGAATGTATATTGTACAATATATATGTTCTTAACAGTTGTTCAATAGTCAATGCAACGAAAGACAGATTTCATTAGAGAATGCAGAAAACACGGCATTATTTTTCTTATTGATACTTCCGTTTCATCATCTTTATAATATTAGTGGACTTTTCCTTTTATTTTCGAAATAGATAATATCGTTACCTGATGATTTTATGTGCCATTTTACACATCATTAAAAGTAGACAAGGTAAACAAGCAACAAGATCAATATCATTATATTTTTTCTTTTCATTTTCAATTTCATAATAGTCTGTGGTATATTTTGTCAACAATGTATACATTGACTCATGTATGAAAAATGTCTAAATGGAACTTTCCAATGTTATAAAAAAAAATTATGATTTTGAAACGTATTTCATCTCTTTAAATACTTCAAGAAGATGATAAAATAGGACAATTATCGTGAAGAAATAGAACAATTTATTACCCAAACCGAACTTGTCACCGGCAAAAAACTTTAGTATAGTTTGGTATGTCTACTAAAGATACATCAATTTATTATCTTTGGTCGAATAAAAAACTCATAAAAAAAGAAATTGATCGTCGAAGAAAGATTGCATTTTTTGCTACTGGTCTCGCTCTTACAACGACTACCGGAGTCGCATCATTCGGAATGGCTGTACCGCTCGTATGTCCCATTGCTGCATTTAAGGTCTACAAGATCCGTAGTCACAGAAAGAAGTTGAAGGCTGTTCGAACTGAGTTAACTCGGCGTCATCTTTCTCCTGCTGAAAAAAGAAAACGAGACGTGCTCATTCCCATGAGCAAGTCTGCAATTATCTATTTTGCTACAATGGGTATCGCCGATGGACTTGATCTCATACCTGATGGACTCCAATCTCTCTTGGACGATCCCATACAAGAAGCATTCGAACTAACTGTAAGTAAAGCATATTTCATATTATTTTTCTTTTTGTTTGAAACATGTGTACCAAATCATTTTCATTTATGTATCTAGGAAGAAAAGATTTTCAAATTGGCAGACAAATTTCAAGCTTTCATCATAACTGAAGTTGGAGCAACAATTATTCACAAAATCATGGTAAGAATATAAACAATCAAATAATGATGTTCAAAAATTTTGGAAAATTCAACTATCTTTATTCATCTAGGATGATGACGAAGAGGACGACGACGAACCATAATTTGTGCATGAAAAGCAATTCTTTAGTTAAAACATTCATCTACATGTAGCAATATTTAAAATATGTGCAAATCTAGATGTTTCAATCGGGATACTAGCCATTTTTAACTTTCTACCTTTTGATGAACTTTTTCACTGCTTTCTCCGGTTTCTCTCTTGGATGTGGGTATAGCTCAGGAGAACCAACACCTACATTCACATCCTTCTTCAAAATATTTGATTATTTACATACACTTGATATTTTTACTGCTTTTACTTGATTAAATAAACGAATTTTGTCAATTCTACAATCAATTTGACTTCAGGTTGTCATCTTAAAGTAGTCATTATGACCAAGAAATGGATTTTCTTTCTTCTTATCTTATTTTTCATGCTGACCAAAACATATCACTAAAATGCTATGATACAATTTCTAATTGTTCATCTATTATCAGTCTACTATTTAATCGACATCATTTTGTTTATTTTCAATCATGTATATTTATATTGAATAATCTATAATCTGAACTTGAATATGTTATTAAACAAGCTGCAATTTTCAACAAACTTTTTGCATTTTTTATTATTCAACGAGATTTTAAAAAAAATCAATGAGAATGACAAGTGTGATATAACTTGAACTAAATCGATGAATAAATAATATTTTCTTCGTTCAGTTAAGCTTCATTCTGATTATAATTACTTTGATATATCAACTTATGCTTCAATTACTTCGAACCGTATATCACTCAAATTGTTTATATCTGACTCACCGAATAGAATATCTGCATGCCATAATAAAACATGAAATTCTATCTCAAAATAATAATGTAAAAGAAGTTGCAATGAAAATATTCGACGAATATTCTTTATAAAATAAGATTTAAAATATAATCTTTTCTATTTTCTTTTAGTACCAGATGTAAATCTAATTTTGAATATATATCTCTCTATTCAAATATGAAAATCAAATTTTGATAAAAATGGAGTATGCATTTCAAAAATATGTTGCCATCTATAACCATTGACCAAATCATTAGCAAATGACTGAACTACTCTGCTTGTTCCATGAAGAAACTTAAAACGAATAAGATTAGACATACAGTGTAAGATATAAACAATTGAACGAATGCTACATGTAGCAAAAATTGATAAATCAAAATATATTAGTTGTGGTGGCGTAGAAAGGTTATTTTCATTAATAAAGGGTTCTTGAATTGGAATAGTAAATTCATATCAATACTTTTTTTTAAATATTTCAAATAGCACATGATTATTGATCGATAAGTGTGGGTGTGAGTATGATTAGAAGCACACATTCACACCCACATCCTCACCGTTGTTGAAATAATACCTGTAATGGCTATATAAGCATATTATGTTCGAAATGCAAAGTATATTTATATTTAAATGAAAAAAAAATTTTAACGAATTATCATGACTAAGGCATTTATGCGTGAAAATTGATCCACAGTCTATTTTCGCGGATTTAATTATGTTTTTTTTGTCGCTTCTCTGCATATATTTGAACTTTTTGTGGTCGTAATTATTTTATTAATGAATGAAAAAGCACGAAATACTACACTATGATTTGTAGAAGCGAAAAAAACATTTTTCAAATATTTGATCCTTCTCGGTCGGATGTTGTCAAATAGCAATATGGAGCCACAAGGTACTGAATAAGTTTTTTGTTTCGAATAAGTCGTTTTTATTAGCCGATTGATGTTACAATAAAAAGTACATAGAAAAAGAATTGTTTTTCTAGTTTTTCTCTAGGAGCCGACCGAGAAAAGGGTTAAACGAGATAAAGTGTGGATGTGATTGTTCTTCATTGTATCTATATCCAATCGATCATCCACTCAACACCTTCCGAGTACATTTCGATAGTGATGATGCTAACGCAAATAACAATGATTTTCAGAAAACTATTGATTTTTTTGAACATTGAATAATATTAGACAGTATGAAAAACACCTAAAAACGAAGTTTCTTAATGAGTTTGATTCACTTTTAATGAATAAAATATGTCAAAAGTTTACAAGGCTTCCAAGGTTTTTCATATCTTGCATACAAATGGTATGAGGTCATATTGAATTTAGTCAGATATTTTGTTTATAAGTAGAGTATATTTTATCTTAATTTTTCAAGGATTCCAAGGATTTCAGCGATGCTTACGGGTATAAAATGATTTCGAGGTTTACAATATAAGAAGAAAAAAAATGTCTGTTGTATTCCTAGTTGTTCACTTATTGGATTCGATATTAAATTTTTGTACTCGATGATTCTTGTAATCGACGACATAAAGATTGCCGTGTCGATCGAATGACAAGCCGACGGGTCCATTTAATTGATTCGATTGTTCTCCTCTACCGTTTCCACCAGCAATGATACTTCCTTGTGAGGCTCCTTGAGGCCAACGCATGACTCGATCATTTCCATCATCAACCACATAGACAGTATCCAATTGATCAACAACAACTCCTTTAGGAAGTATTAATTGTGTAAGATTATTTCCAGATTCTTGATTACCAGCAACAACAATGGATGTTTTTTCACCTTTTATCCATTTTGTTACACGGTTATTTCCCCACTCAGACACGTATACTGAAAAATCTTGATCAACAAATACGTATCGTGGATTAGACAGTTGATCAAGACGATCTCCACATCCATTTCCACCTGCAACTATTGTTCCTTGAGATTCTCCTTTTTGATATCGTCTCACTTCATGTTTTTCATTGTCAACAACATAGAGAGATCCATTCTGATCCATTGTCAAACCCCAACAAGCAATGTCGGAGATGATTGTTTCTCCACGTCTTGCATATCGACGAGGCCATCGAACCACTCTTCTATTCGAAGAATCGGAAATGATAAGACTATCTGTTTTTTTATCGACAATCACGTCATATGGATAAGACAACTGATGATCTCCATCTCCTGGTCCTTTTCCACCGGCAACTACTTTACCACTTGTTTCACCCGCTATCCATTTCGTAATACGATGATTCGAATAATCGGCAACATAGATTGTTTCATCATCATCTACATATAAACCCCATGGATAAGAGAGTTGATTGAACGCATTGCCTTGTCCATTTCCTCCACTTACAGTGATACCATCCTGTTGCCATTGAGCATCTGGATGAATGTTAATGATATTACCATAAAATTGATTGCCTAAAATACAGAGAAAGAATAGGATAATACAATAGAATAAGAGAGGAGAGAAAGAGGGAAACTCTAGAGGGAAAAAAAGTAAAAAGTTCATTTGAATTTTCATAAAATCAACATCTTTGTAAGCTTCAAATTGTTTCTGATTTTATCTTTTGATAGTGAAGATAGTGTTATCAAAAAAGCTTGTCAGTAAAGTCCCTTCAGCCCTAAAATATGGAATTGAAAATCTCTGACTGTTATGATTTTATCAAAAATCATCTTAACTTTCAAAATAACTTAAATAAAATAATATGAAATTAATGAATAAATAAGAATTATAAGAATTTTCATATTTAATAAATGCTCTCAGAAATTATCTTTAATCAGAACTTCATATTTATAACTAGTGTAAAAACGAATGCTTTTTTTTTTATCAGATACATCTTTAATGCATAATTTTTATCTACTTTTTGAAAGATAATATTTACACAACACATGCGAAATGTTAATAAGTATTAATAAACACTAAAGATATTTTTGAAAAGAAAAATATTAATTGGCTATTTAAGTAACGGTTACCATGGATACATATCGAATAATGTATAGTTTCGTACGATAGATTTGTTAGGTACCGTTACTATGGAAACCTTTGGAAAAATCTTTAATTTTCCGTAATTTTGTTTGAGTTCCATAAAACTTAATTTTTTCTTGAAAAAAGAACGAAAAAAGATTTAAAACTAAAATCAATGTCATAGACAGGAAAATTTTTATTATTACAATTATATGAATAATTATAGAGATAAAAAGTATAATTATCTTGTTTCAAATATGAAAAGTATAACCTACATTTTAGTTGTGGTAAAAAAGCTATTGATATGTCGATGTCGTTTTTACCACTATAAAATAAAAGCAATATTAACTATAGTTATGAAGGAAGATATGTTTTTCCAAAACTTACCACTGAATAAATTCCATCTCTGTCACTGTTCCATCTTTAGTTTTCTGACAATAGTCCATAATTTTCATAGCAATGGATTTCGCTTTGTTCGTATCTACCGCTGTTTCGCCGGCGTGTAGCTCTGCTACGACTTCGATAAATTCGATAATTCGGCTAGCATTTATTTCTTTAGAATGTTCATAGTCACAGACGAAGAACACCTTATAACGAATAAAATATTATGATTTATTAAATAAAAAAATTTTTATGAACGAACCAGACTAAGACCAATATCTAAATCCTCTGTTTGTGTGAGAGCAACAGCTTTCATAAATTCTGGAAAGCTGATTTTGCCACCCTTATCACCATCAATCGTTGGAAACACATAATCGCTGAAACTTTCGGAATTTCCTCTAAAAAGTCAGAAAGAATATGTACAATAACTTGAAATTTAGTAGTAATTAGCACATATTAGTGGATGTTAACTGTCAAATAGAGTATTTTTTTTTTAGCTCTTCAAGATACTAAAATAAAGTCTGAAGATTCCATTTTATGCTTGTTTTATAGAAAATGATTTTCTCTATAAAAACTACATGTTTGACACTGAGATATGTCAAGTGTTATTTAAAAAAACAAAATTGAATAAGGATAAATAATGAGAATAACTATACTGAATAGAGAAAACGTTGATTGTATTTCAGTAACTTCAAATAAGAGGTAATTGAGAAAAGGTTCAATATGAATACTTTGCAGAAATAGAACAACCATTGAGACTCGTTCGCATATCTATATTACGGGTAGAAATTTCATTACAAAAGTTAATCATTGCTTTCTGGTAGTAATTGTTTCAACCCTATCTTTTGTATTGAGACCTAAAAACAAAATTTTGTAAGTATCTACTACCAAGAAATCATTAGAACATATAAACATCTATGTCACTTGAGACTTTAAATTACGATTGATGAAAATAATATTATTCACTAGATTAGTGTCATGTATAAGTATGTTTCACATCAAATTTCTATGATAAACATTTAATAATAACATAATGAGTTCATTGGCTTACCCGACCATGGAAAAACTTCTATCTGATCTTGTCACAAAATTCATCCCACTAATCAATCCTCATCTTCTCTCGCTATCATTTTCCCATTTTTGGTGATTCTACCGTATATGTCATACTTAATAAATGGAATTTTCAAAATCTATTTTTGCCTGGTTAATTGTGTAGAAGATCGTTGACGTCAACAACATGATTTTAGCAGACTCATATGAATTTCTATCAGTCAAATACTATAGAGACCAACAGTTTGGAGAAAAACTCGAAGGTTAATGTTCAATAAATTTTGTTATTTTTTGACATGTCGTTGTATTTGTTTGAAAAGATCAAAATAAATTATGTTTTTCCATAATATTACTGGATATGTAGACAAAGCTCATTTTACACTCTCATATATACCACTTTTCAGAGGACTAACTTGTATGAAACTATTTAATGATAAACTATGTTATAGATTGATTATCACTGATATAAAATGTCTAGATAGAAATTACCGAGTGTTTTAACTCTTATCATTGAGGAGTGACTATTTACTGAATGATGTGAGATAATTAAAGCAAATCAATTTTTGATAAACTTACTTAGGAAAAAGTTTTTTGAATTCATTTTTAAAATCATCTTTGGACAGTTCACCGGTGCGACTAAATATAAAATAATAATATATGCAAATGCTCGAAACTTCCGAAGTATTTTATACTCACTTTGCTTCCATAAATTCCTTGTGCCGATCCAAAAGACTTCTGCGAGTTAGGGTTGAATTTTCTTTCAAAATATAATCCCTATCCTTTTTTGAAAGCTTTTCTAAACGATAAATACTTATGTAAATTTATTGCACTAGCATTTAATACACCAAGAAATCAAGCAAAAAAGATAACGATGGATCTACTGACAAGGTCAATTCTATATAAAATAGAAGAAGAAGAATATACTCAATATGTGACATATTGTTTGATAATGATCGAGCTTTACTTTTTCACAGTCTACATATATTCTTCTGCTAGATTAAGCTGGAAGATCTTGTTAATGAGTGACAGGGAGCAACATTTTCACAAATTGAAAGCTCCTTTTATCACATTTGTGGAATAAGGTGAGCGACTCTCTTCATCTAATCCTCATCTACTCTTAAAGTCAACCTTTGATTACCGTTCGTGTATAAATTGTAAAATAAATTCTGAAACGAAAGCAAGTGCAGATCTGCAATCTTCTTTTGACAGTTTCTACATGGAAAAATGATGGCTAAGAGCAAATAAATCTTTAGAACCTGGAAATTAATAAACTACCATTTATTTGAGTAAAGAAGGCGAATTTATATGCTGATAAAGAAAACAATTCAAAAGAGCAAAAACTTCTGTCTCATTATAAGTAGCACCCTCAGAAATATGAATCAGGAAGTCAAAGCTAGGAGGAACCAGATGATATGAGTAAGACATACAAATGTGATGGTAACAATTTCGATTTGATTCTTCGATCAATATACGGAATTTTCTATTTATTAGAATCAAGAAGATATTTTGTAACATGAAATGTAGATATATATATATCAGACAGTTTCATTTGTTTTGTCTCACCAGACAAATGAAAGCTTACAAAATTTGATACTATCTCATAGAATTCTACTGACTAGTAATTCAATAAAAATAATTATTTTTGATTGTCATCTATAATGTGCAATGATGCTAAATAAATTTTTAACGTCATCTATCATTTTTTAGAATGATTTTATTTGTCAAATAAATGACACAGTTTAGAATTAGCATCGATTCATTCATATTGAGTCTAATGTATCAGTGTACTAGGTAGTTTTTTCGATAGTTCAATGGTTTCTCCTTCCTGTTTTTATAGACCTAGATTTTTCACATTTCAATTATATAAAAAATGATCGACAGTTTCAACTTGTTATGTAACACCAATAGATCATAGCTTAGAACATTCTGTTATATGAATCGATAACTCTTTGACTATTAATAAGAAACTTACTTAATGAATATTCGTAAAAGTCTCTTGTTACAATGTGACCATTCTTTGCATGATAAATAACACAACTGTTTGGTTTTTCTTCTAATTCTGGGTGTAAATCGTGATCAATCACACGAAATCTTGCTTTAGTATTGTTTGATATCAATTCATTCTTCATCAAGTTAGTAAAATATCTCTCTTGTTTTAAGGTACTTCGTTTATTCTCTTTAGTGTTCCATTCTTCACATGTATGCAATAAATACACATCATAATCGTATAAATCTAATATTAAGTCATCAACTGATTCGAGAATTTTCAACAGTTCCTTTTTTTCTGGACTAACTTTTGTTAATGTGTCAATTTTCCTTTTTATTTTTTGGTTGTCTTTCAAAAATCGTTCAATTGATGTTAATGAACATGGATTATTAGATTCAAACTCATCGAGTAGTTGTTGCATTTCTGATTCTTTTGCTGAATCACTGCGAATTTTAACTAACAAATCTTTTAATTTACGTTGCGTTATTAGTGACTCTTGATCAAGTTCTCGTTGTTTCTGTTTAACCAAATCAAACCAATGATAAGAAATAAATTCTTTCCATGGTTCAATATCATATATAAAGTCGTTTAATTTTCGTTTTGATTCAATAATTTGTTCAAACATATCTTCAATACGACTAACAATCGCTTCCGATACTTCTTTTATTGATCTAAGAAAGATATATATTAAGGTAAATGTATATTTGAAAAATTAGTACGAACCTTTCAATTTTCAGTTCGGATTCAAACATTTGTGCAATACTTTTCAAAGGATATAAAATAAATACAAGTTGTCTTCCTTTTCCATCATTTAAAGATTCGATCTGAGATGGAATATTTTCGCAAACTTTCAGCACTCCTTCAACTGTTTGTGGACAATTATCAATCAGTACATCACCAGAAAATTCAACCTTTAATGAGTCAAGATCTGATTTATTTTTATCATCATAATCTATCGTCGCTTGTCCTTTGATACTAAATATAGGCTTTTTGAAAGCTGCTGATAATGTACCTTCAATTCTCTGTACTGCATCAGCACTTTCAACTGTTCGTTCAAATGTTGCAGCTACATTAATACCCCATACTATTCCAATAACAACATGTGTTACATTTGGATTTTTGAAGGCATACTCTGAAAAATATTCGTTTAGGTTGCCTGTAGATATTTGTAAATATTCTTCTTTTGTTTTTGCCCGATACATAAATGTAACTCGAACAGTATGATTGTTTGTTTTTGTCTGTTCGAGATATTTTGCTGATCCTTCAACATTTATCAATCCTGCCATTAAGGCTAATTTTAGATTTGCTTCAATATCCAATTTATTGAATGTTTCTTTTTGAGAATTATGAAAATCAAGCCAATAATTTGTATTCGCAGTGATTCAGCAAAAGAATCAGAAATGCAACAACTACTCGATGAGTTTGAATCTAATCAAACTTCCGCCTTCAAATTCGTCTGTTCGAACATCATATAATGAGCCAATAAATCCATTACGACGTCCGATTGCTTGTCGTTCGATTGTACTGCTTGAAGCCATAAGAGTTAGTCGATAATCTAATATATTATCAGAAGAAACAATACATAATTCCATATATTGACTAATTTCTACTGAAAACTGACCAAGAAAATGTTGATTCAGAAAGACTCCCTATTTACCATGTGAGAAATATAACTGTAAAGCTACTATGATATAATAAATTTAACAAATGAAGAAACATTCAATGTTTAAAGACGAATTCAATCAAGAAAATTTACCTAATAGGAAATGAAGTAAGACTAATTTCCTTTCTAAATGCAAGAAGTTCACGACAACTTTCGGATGATAATCGATAGTAACACATAAGATAATGAAGAATTAAATCATCCAATCATTCACAGTAGGTATTAATAAGATGGACAATTTATTTGAATTTATTATTACTTGGTAAATGATCACTAACACTTAATATCGAAATTAAGTTTGTTTTTATCTAATGTCGAATTGGTTTAAAGGAGTTGGCCTCCATATTCCTTCATTGGTTTTGTTTTTGTTTCAGTGTTTTTGCTTTCAGCAAAGCGTGAGGATGTGGGATCACCAAATCGGATTGTTAACTTTATAGCAGGCATGCACCAAATCCTAGATCTGACAGGATTTGTCTAGATTTAAATTTGGGTTTGACTTATATTTGACGGAGGACTGGCAGGGCTTAATTAGATTTAATCTCGATTCGATCATATAATGTCCAGTTTGACTAAAATTTGGCTAGATTTGACAAGACTTGTATTGAATTTAACAAGATTTAGGTCTGGGTTCTACCTCTTGTGATAATTGATACCCAACCCACAGCCACATCCTTCTTACGATAATAATTGACAAGTTTCATATTCCTTAGGATATCTTGAAAATCTTCTCAAGCTATTTTTCTAAATTCTATTCAAGTATTTCAGACAAAATTTAAAATATAGGTAATCGTTAACTATCTAGAGTTTCATTGTTCATGCTAGTAATTATTATCAGAACAATTTTTAAAATGTTTATTACAGAAATAAATCTGCTAGAAGAATTTTTAGAATTTTCCTTTCTTTGAAGGTTTCCTTTTACATTCGAAACGTGCAATACGACTCTTTGGCAATTTTGTTCGATTAAGTAAAGATCGCAAGCCGAATCTAAAAAATACTCTAGTAATTTTACGACGTTTTTTTTATCAGTTATTTGATGCTAAAGATCAAATTAATGAATGAATTTTTCTATGTATCTCTTCGCTGAAAGAAAATTATCTTTAACTAAACACTGAATAAAAAACGTGTCGTATATGTCGGGATTTAAGAAACATTAAAGAATAACACGAGGTCTCACTATGATACATTTTCTCCAGCAATATCAGAAAACATTTTGTACGACATATGTGACACATTTTCCAGTAGTTCTTTTGGAAAAACATATTTGGTTTTTTTTCATTTTAATTGCATTGAATTACTCTTTATATGAAAACTTAAGCAGCTCAGATCCTCGGATCTGTCTGATCTCGAGTTGATCCGATTCGCATCGGACCACTTCAGGATAGTTTGATTATACATAAAACAATAGTATATTAAATCTATTCATGTATTATCAATAAAATAACATGTAAATGATCGAGATAAAATATATTTCGAAAGAAAATGTTTAATTTAGACATAGGATCGAATCGATCAAGTGTTACTTTCTTATTTCTGAAATTATTTGGCAACATTTTCAAAATCTTACCTCTTTATTGTCGTAGTTTCGTGCTATCTTTGACAAATAAAAATGTAGTATACAGTCATAATGATTTCTCTTTTATCAAAAGTATTTATATATGTTTACAAGCATAAATAAATTTATCCGTCGTCTATACCCATTTACATAGCAGGCGTTAATAGAGAAGGATGGAAGAAAGAAAGTATATATAATTATTATCAGTAAAGGAGAAAAAACAAACAGGTCATACAATAATTATTCTTCTCATCTTTTGCTTTTCTCAGTCATAAACATACCAAAAATATACATCAACCATACTAATGCATGCGGTATAAAACATGATATAGAAATCGGTTATACACTGAAAAGTAGAATATAATTTATAGAGTTTAATAAAGGATATTCTAGAAATATCCATATGAATTCTTCAACTATTTGTTTTTTCTTTAAAAATAAGATATTTGAAACTCTAAAAATAAGAAACTTGATTTTCTAATTAGAAAAATGGAAGTGAATTGATATGCACATTTATAGAATTTTGAATTCTATTTAGCAAATCGAATACTTTTTTTTCAAAAACTTGAAAATCGAATTTTAATCTGCATATCATAACGTAGTATATTTTATTCATTTCATTTCATACTGATAATATATTATCAACAAGAAATGAAATAAATAAGTTTACAAACATGCAGTTCATATAAATGTAACAAATAAAACAAGTAATTTAATTGCATACTTAATTTTTATATAAACAAATTCATAAATATTAAATATGATTAATGCAGAAAAGAAAAGAAAAAAAATTAAGCTTAATTAAAATAGTATGTTGTTACTCATTCAATTCATATAAATGCGCTGAAGAAAATAAATTGAATATTTATTATTTAAACTCTTTAAATATCAAATGATTGACGCAATAAAAACAATATATATAACTTATGAACTTAATATCGCCTTTGGAGAAAATAATGAATGTACAACACTGTTGATTCTATCACTTAATAATGAAAATTTAGAAATGCTTGGACTTATTTAAAGTCGATTTTCTAACAAGCAGAATTTTAAAAAAACTTAAAGTGTATATGATTATGCTGTTCTATGCATAAACGATGTCGTATTGCAATGAGACTTTTAATAATATGTCACGTGGAATGGGAAAGATATGATTTAGTATATATTATCGTGTTATTTAAATCAGGAGTAATACAAAAATAGTCCATTTATTCCTTTCAAGTTAGCGTTCTACTAAACAACCTAAATAATTTGTCTATCAACTAATATAATGGAATAAGACTCATTGACATAATGAGTCTTCAGTTAGCCCATTGATATGCGAGGTATACTTTTTGACCATATGTGTCTGATAGAGGAGAAAAAAAGAAATGCATTATGATTCAATGGAAAAGAAGAAAGTAGGTCATATTAAAGTATTCGTTCAGAAATCAAGTTATGATATTTTCGAATGTTTTGCAGACTTTCACACGTAAGTTGAAATCAACATTGGTCAGTTAGTCTTACCAATTCGACTAACATTTCCACTTTATATCAAGTTAATCAACAGATCAATCTATCTGCATATTTTTTATTATTTTCTTCAAGGTATTCTAAAACTGTCAGCATACCTATACTTTCAGCTATTCTGTATCTATCAGATCTCAACTGTTAATACTGAAATAAATAGATTCTTCTTCAATTTTTTCGATCTACGTTCTATGTAGATATCAATTTTATTTGTGAACTTTATCAAATCGATACCTTGCTATGTGATCGAAGCATGCTCTAGAAGCTAATGTAAAATTCATTACTTTATTTCCGAGCAAATGCTTTTCTAACTTCACACTAACATTCTTCTTCATGGAAAATAGATATATCGCCTTTATTTTTCATTTTCTCTTTACTATATATCCATCAAGAAAAAAAAATTTTCATCATATAGATAAATAGATTGGCTATAAATAGACCGTATATCGTCATAATACTGGATGGAGAAATCTAGCTATGTTGCATTGAGTTGATGACATATATATATATATAACATTTCGCCAAAAATATGATGTCATAGTTGGTGCTATGCTACGATACACATGACTACAAACATATATATCATCTCTTTACTTTTTAATATTGAAATTTTGAAATTATTCAGGAGCGTGAAGCGAGTCGTAAACAGAAGTATTTTTATCACATAGAAGTTCATGTATGAATCATTGAATTACTATGTTATAGACGTGCTTCTGTCTCTGGTATTATTACGATTTATGGGTTGTTTAAATTTCCTATAGGGACAAAATAGAAAAAATTATTATTATTGAAGACGAAAGAAAATGCAAAGACATGAAACTTTTTTTTTTGTAAATAATATCATGAACTTTTTTCCTATTTAATGCACTTATTTAACCGAGTAGAATTTCTGATAACACGCATAAAAACATAATAACTTTTGATTGCTTTTGCGAGACAATCATCTGAAAACAATCAATCTTTCGAGTCTAGCTCTTTTTATGGTCTATTCGCTGATTGTCGAACAGAAAGAGAAATTCGGAATATTTACGCGTGTAACGTCTATTAAGTTTATGCTTTAAGATTATATACAGCTGTGAATAATAGTAAAAGCATGAAAAGGATGGGGGTGGATTTCCTAGCAAAATCGGCCCTATTTGAAAATGTTAACAGAACACCCACTAATTATATATCATTACGAAGGTTATAAAGTCCACTAAATATGTGAACTATAGTTTTGATCCTGACATTGATTTTGGTCCTCCTTTTACCTTGTATATAATGAGAAGGCATATAACCCGCTCATGCCATGCTTGTACAGCGTCGAAGTGTATTACTGTAAAAGGTTTCCTCACCATTTTCTTAGCATAATTAGGCCATCGAATATCCTCAAAAACTACCCGAACATGCCCATTCGAAAAGCTTGCCAAATGGATTTTGGAAATACTACACTTATCTGAATAGGTCGTTTGTAGAGGGATTGAGGAGATGATTCACTTCGATATCGAGTATTGCAATACATCTCACCCTCATTTTTTGAGCATAAGTAGGCCATCGAATATCCTCAAAAACTATCCGAACATGCCCATTCGAAAAGCTTGGCAAATGGATGTTGTAATTACTACACTTATCTGAATAGGTTGTTTCTACATGGATGGAGAAGACGGTAGACTTCGATCTCAGCTATTGGAATACATCCCCCCTCATTTTTTTACCCTAAGTAGCCCATCGAATATCCTTCAAAACTACCCGAACATGCCCTTGTTCAGAGGCTTGCCAAATTGATTTCGGAAGTACCACGGTTATCCTAATCGGTCGTTTGTAGAGGAACTGAGATGGTGGTTCAATTTGATCTCGTCTGTTGCAGTATAAGCTAGCTGCATTTTTTCAGGATAATTGGGTACTATAAAATGCTCGATCCTTGCTGGATAGATTGCTTCATAATGTTTATTGAGTAGCTTTTTTGTAACGATATGCACGTAATCATACGATCGAGTGTGTTTTATCAGTCCGGCTAATATTAGTATGAGGGAAATTATGTGCTTTGCTAGTCGCCAGGCGTTAAATAAAACTTTCTCCGTGAGGATTTTTTTCAGATGAATCTGTTTTGATAACTGATTGCCTCTGGGCAATGTCTAGGTGTCATGGAGGTTAGGTAAATATGATATTTAAAGGTGGAATTTTCTGCCTTTGGAATTCTGATTAATGGTCGTATCTGGTGTGGATTATTGCAACATAGTAAAACAAGATTTCCATGAAAGGGTTGAACACAATTGGATTAGTAGTCTTTTTGTCGGTGTAGTTTACCGAGATGTTCTATATTTTATTTCTTAGGAACTTAGTATTTGGAATGAATACATATTTAGAATTAGTTAGAGATAGAAAATGTGAAATACAGCAGCTAATCTGATTGAAGAGAATAGTAGATGACTTCATTGCTTTCATCAGATGAATATTCATAGTCTGATATTGAATCACAGTAGTGTATTGTATCTGTGTTAGTTGATGAAGGTTGTTTGTTGGCGCTGGTTTGATAGCGTTCGTAAGCAAGGAACCATACTGCGGACGCGACGTGTGAGCAGCAACCTACTACTTTTGTACCGCCTTTGCACGTACAATACCATGCTAGTATCTGACTTTTGTTGAACTGAATGTATGTATAATATTGACATGACCTTATATGTGCTGATTGAAATCGAATTCGAATAATGTCACGAGCGCCCATTTGAGTACATTGTTGAAGAGGAAATTCAATATTCGGATCTGTTAGATCTGTAGAACCTGCATGTTACTCTGCATAACTGCGAGCTCGTCGTAGTTGGTAAACTCCTAAAACGATAATAGTGAATATACGGCAGAAGTTATGATGAATTACCTAAGGTGAGTGTTCGAATTTCATCAAGTGACAGTTTTGGAAAAGTAACAGCCACATGATCAAGTTCAATAACATCCCATACGGAATTTCTTGTTAATTGATGATCAATGAGATAGTTTTGTAATTCGTTGCTTTTTGTTCTCAGTGAATTCATACGAGTAATAACAGCATCATTATCAATTGATGGATTTACCATTGGAGTATGAAAACAATTAAGTAATGCAGCAGTTATCATCATGAAATCTTTTATGGATGGTAATGAAGAATTGGGTATAACTTGATTGAACCATTTAAATCGTTTGATGCGGGAGTTCACACTCTCTACTACCCAACGTAACATTGTAACGAATCGAGAATTATTTGCCTGTTGTACATCAAATTGCTTTTGCTTTGGACCAAGAAATGATGGCATAGCAACATCAATACCCAAAGATTTTAGTATACCTAATGAATCCCGAAAACCTCTATCCAGTATTAAGATATCATTCTCTTCAATCCAATTTAATATGTCATCGTAATTATTTGTAATGATGTGTTTGAGAATGGACGCATCATTATTATTGTTATCTGAGAAAAATGGGCCAAAGATTGCGACAATGTACCCAGTAGTTGAGACAACAACCATCGGCTTGACAAGTGAACGGTTCTTATACAAATTGAAAGTTTTGCGCTGCACCATGTTGTTACGACTCTTCTATTCGTCAAAAGAAAACGTTCAATATGCGAAACATATAGAAAAACAATGTTACCTGAATGTAAAAGTAAGTTCCGTCGAGAACTAAAATGCAAGGATTTCGATTTTCAGTTAATAATCGAGTGGCAATAGATGATGTATGCTTCTGGATAATTTCTTGTCGAGATATATGAGCAAGACCAAGATAATGTGGAACAAAATATTGTGAAAGAGCGAGACGAGCACTGTGTATAATATCGCTCACTTTACGCTTGTTATCAATACCTAACATTGATGCGAGCACTGAATTACTTAATCCAAGTTTCAATTTCATTAATAAGCATGCAACTGAACAACGAGGAGACCGATTAACTGAATTCTTCAGAGCACTTGATGGAATATACGAAAGAATATGATCATGTTGTGCACGTGTGAAGCCAGTAAGGTTCTTGTAATCGAGATCTGATAAAGAAAAGCCATCATCAAAATTAATGTGCTTCTTACTATTAACCATTGTTCGCAATTTTTGCATGGTATCCATATTATGATTAAAATCAAATGGTTCTTCACGAATTTTGTAAGCAGTTATTGCGGAAAACGCTTCATGAGATAAGAATCCGTTAACGGTATGCATCTTACAACAGCGTGAACCTTTTGGAATAACAATGTTGCGTTTAACGAACATGTTATCACGGTCTTCTTTTTTCACAGTCACTGCTGGTGGATTCAATTGAATGCGACATACACAACATTGACTAAAGCGAAGAATTTTTTGAAACCATCAATAAAATGATATGTTTTTACCTGTTTGATGCAATAGCTACTTCAACAGTTAACTTCAAACTACTTCGATCAGTACTAGTTGATTTACTAACAACCGATATATTATTCTAAAATATAATATATATATATATATTATTCTAAAATATACAATATATGTATAGATAAATCTTACATATTCATCACCAGATCCTGCAGATGAGTCATGTGAATCATTTTGATCAGACTCATTCTCATCCATTATTTGGCCATCCTAAGAAAAGATAGCTTGAGTATACACATACATTAAACTTTAATTGATTATATTACATTTTCGTCATTAAACTCCATATCTGCACCATCCGAATCATTTTCATTAGATCCATTATCATCCATTATTTCACCATCCTAAGAAAAGAAGATTTGAATATATATATATAGATACATTAAGTGTTAGTCGATTATACTACATCTTTCTCATTAAAATCCATATCTGCACCATTCGAATCATTTTCATCAGATTCATTATGATCCAATATTTGATCGTCCTATGAAGAGAAAAAGGAATTTTCAATATTTTCACGTAGCCGTGATTATCTCACTGATTCAACATTTGAGCTATTTGTATTCTTTCTTTCATTGAATTCTTCATCAATTGTGTCATTGCCTTCTTGTAAACTATCAATATTCAATAAAATCTGACAGAAGCCACATTCTGCCATCCATTGTTTGTATGACCATCGACATTTATCGCAAACCAACCCATCATTTGGAAGTCGAGAAGGATACACCCGCGCGCTGATGAAAATCCGCATCGAAGTTACAGTAATAGGGCGTTTACCACTTCCAGTTAATCGTTTACCACAACTAACACAGTTTCTTTTTGAATTCATGTTTCGCAAACCATAAAATCAGTTACAAAAACAAAGCGAGAATATTTTCTTCTGTGTGCACAAAAGTACTGTTCAAGTATGTAAATGATTAATCATTATTCTATAACCATTTTCTCTTTTATTCTGTTATCTGTCCTCCGTGACGAATGTCCAGAAACATCCAGTACAAAAACGACTTACATCATAGAGGCAATTTCAACCAATAGCACATATTTATTTCATAACATTCATTCAATTTTTCTTCGAGGGTACTTGGATTGGGCACGTCATATGTGATTATTAAACATACCTCACACAAAACAATCTTGAAGTCTTTAATTTCAAAATTGCCTTCCTTATACAAGACATACAGCATGGATATATAAACAACTATCCACACAGATCCATACGATAAGTATCTGTAACAAAAAAATTTAATCGAACTCTTTGGAAAAAGAACAATTAAGTTTCTCCATGATAACAAGATACGTTTCATCAAAAGTACATACATGATGGTATAATTATTTCCCTATCACGAGAAACAAAAGGTACTCGACAAGCACCTTGAAGTTACACATCAGGCATTTTTCGAGGATGCAATTCTCCCTCCTTATCCTGGAACAATGAAGGTGCAAAATATTACAGTAGTGAACATGCAAGTAAACCATCTTCTACATCCCACCAGAAATCACGATTCAGATCGGTATAGTATTTCAGAATCGATTTGGCAAGCTTTTCGAATGGGCATGTTCGGGTAGTTTTTGAGGATATTCGATGGCCAACTTATGCTCAAAAAACGAGGGTGAGATGTATTGCAATACTCAAAGATCGAAGTGAATCATCTCCTCAATCCCTCTACAAACGACCTATTCAGATAAGTGTAGTATTTCGAAAATCCATTTGGCAAGCTTTTCGAATGGGCATGTTCGGATAGTTTTTGAGGATATTCGATGGCCTACTTATGCTCAAAAAATGAGGGTGGGATGTATTGCAATAGTTGAGATCGAACTCTATCATCTTCTCCATCCCTGTAGAAACCACCTATTCAGATAAGTGTAGTATTTCGAAAATCCATTTGGCAAGCTTTTCGAATGGGCATGTTCGGGTAGTTTTTGAGGATATTCGATGGCCTACTTATGCTAAGAAAATGGTGAGGAAACCTTTTACAGTAATACACTTCGACGCTGTACAAGCATGGCATAGCGGGTTATATGCCTTCTCATTATATACAAGGTAAAAGGAGGACCAAAATCAGTGTCATGATCAAAACTATAGTTCACATATTTAGTGGACTTTATAACCTTCGTAATGATATATAATTAGTGGGTGTTCTGTTAACATTTTCAAATAGGGCCGATTTTGCTAGGAAATCCACCCCCATCCTTTCCAGTTTTTATTTAGATCACATTCAATTGATCACAAATTATTCATCAGTCTTTCACCTGTCAATTGAATATTATGTTACACTATGGTTGTCAAAAGACAATTGTCTAACTAAAACTAAAGTAAATAGAGTATTTGGCAATGAAAATATTTTTCCGTCACTGAATTTGGAATAGTGTGACTTGAATGTGCTTTGTGGAACGTTTTTGGCTAGACGATGATATGGACATGAAAATGTAGATTTAATTATATATTTAACTTAAGTATTTTATAAAGCGGTAAATGCGAGCTTGTCCATATTCTCTGCAATTAACAATGAGAAAGTAATGTGATGCACTCTTAAACTACTAAGCTATACATTGTGACACTCGAAATGTAGACTATGGAAGGTTAAAATATCAGCAATGAATGATATCTTTAGTTTGTTGTATTTTTAGATAGGATACGAAACTAAGTACCGATATCGTTCGTCCCTTTTCTCATATATACTTAATGTTCCCAATACTTTTGTCTTTAGAATTGAGCGCAACATATTTTTATGATAAATTATTTATGATAAAGTGGTTCTACTTTTGTATTCTTGAAACCATCTAGAAAAAAAATGAATGAGAATTTTGCTTTTTCATTTATATCTCAATAATCTCTCTATTTATTTCTTTTCCTTTTCTTTCAAAATAGATTATCCATGATAGAGTAAGATGATTAAACACAACAAAAAAGAAAATTATTTTCTTCTTCTTTTTCTTTCATGCACTCACTTATTTCCTTTTTTATAAGCTCATTTGTTTTATATGTTATTTTCACTNTGTCCTGAAGGACGCTGTTCCCACACCGCTAAATAAGAAATTTTCAAACGCTTGCCAGCAAATAGATGACAACTATAACAGTATATATCAACTGCCTAAACGGAAAAATAATTCATCTGTGCAGTTAAAAAAAACAAAAAACATCAAAAATCAGATTTTTTCACTTTTTTGAAAATTCATCATTTTCAGGCTCAAATATATCAGCTAAGGAGTGATGAGCAAAACATTATTTTTTTACCAATCAATAGCCCATGGAGTTCCCTACAAATATTGTCTTGTGAGTTTTTGAATACCATGCTTTCTTTATTTGCTGAAAACTTTCTACAAATGGGTCAAAAATGACCCAAGGGGGGGGGGGGTAAAGGGTTAATCATTTTGTTTTTGCTAATTCTTGCTCACCATATAGACCTTCTTTCTTCAGTAGTTCGTATCATAATTATAGATACTATTATTGAGGTTTTTTTATTATTTTGATAGACTGTATGTAAGTACACTGATGGTAAAAATTTTACTTTTTAACAGTGAATCATTATGATAGAAAAGGTTAAACAATTTTTCTGATGTACTAAAGAATAAATGTGTGGCAGTGTACTTTCTAATGACAGATAGTACTTATCAATAAAGCAATTGTTTAAGATGATTAATTTTTTATATTCTATACATTCGTTAAAAGTTATTCTTTTTCTGAAGTATCAAGTTTTTTGGTGAGATTAAAAAAGTTAAAGTTCTGATGTAGTGATTTCAAGATATGTGCAACAAAAAGATTAGTAGGGAGGGGCTCTCTTCCTCAAAATGTCTAACAGTTTGCTAAAGTTCGTAATACTTTCTGCCAAGTCTTCACAGCTTCGTGGGAACTTGGAATAAACACAGAATTTTGAAACACTATTTGCCTTTCTCTAGTAGAAAATGAAATCTAAGCAGACAATATCATTGTGAGTTGAATAGGAAAGAATGAATGGTCTGAGGGTAGACCATCTATTATGGAAGATGCCGGATCATGGTATCTTTTGTTCTTCAAGTCACTACTCTTAGCAGTTCAATAATGCAAACTCTTTCTGCCGAACCTTTAGTTTCTCTTACCTTTAGCAAAAAATCAATGTCGAGTATAGATCCTTTGTGATTGTCTATTTAAGTTTTTTTGATTTTGCTTCAAATCAAAATGTGCAGACTGTGATTTTATTAAGAAAATAAATCAAAATATGAATTTCTCAAAACATAAACTCAGAAAAATATATTTATTCTTTATTTTTTGAAGTTGATGTTCATCGATTGAATAATATTAGAATCATGATTTTTTTTGTTATCGACGAGGTGCAGTACCATAAGGAAGCCATATTGGATGAGCAACAGTAGATTTTTGTCTTGACTCCAATTGTCGAAATGGATTTGTTGCAGGATGAATTCGACTTGTTAAGCCCGCATAGAAATTAGGTAATTCGTTATTTGTTTGATACTAAATAGAAAAACAAAAATGAAAATTACTATTCGATTTAAAAGAAAAATAATAAAAATTTACCGGATAACGACCGGGTCGAGGCGGAACATATAAATCATTGTCCTCATCAGGTAATGGATAGGCAATTTTAAAACGATCAGGATGTTCATCTAGAAATCGAGACCATTTCATACTTGTTCGTCTAATGAAAAAAAAAAAGTAAATTAGTTTTATTAAAACAAAATCTAATTTACGTTAAATGATTTGGAACAGTGAACGGACGAATTCGGTTCAATGAATCCTAAATAAACAAGTCAATTTCTAATAACAATTTAATATAATGAACAACATACTATTGAATTGGGATCATCCTGTTGATAAAGATATTGCTTATATGTATCGTATTGTTTTGGTAAAGTTTGAATTGATTCTAGATCAATATTTATATATGGTGAACCATAAACATTACGATGTTTTGCAGCATGATTATCAGATGCTTTCTGCCAATTTGTTGCAAATATTGAATTATAAATTGGTATTGTATCTTCTGAATTTGATTTTGAACTTATCGAACGACTAAAAGTTCATTCAATAATTTATATAATATTTCACAATCGATCTTATTTGGTTCATCTTTTTATAAAAATTTCTCTACTATTTCAATGAATAAAATTGAAATCACAATTAAAATTTACAGAACAATCTTCGTGAATAATATTATCTGATTTCTTTGTAGTATGTTTTCTATTACCTGTATACTCACTAGATGATAGATCAATAAGTGTATGAAAGCTGTGTTTATTAATAACGTACTAAGAAAAGAGTTCTAGAACGGGATAAATCCATTTTCCCACAAAGCTCATTTTTATCGAAGAAGGCTCAGAATTTCCACAAATCACCTCTAACGATGTGCAGTTTCAATTTGCTGATCACCGACATCACTGATTTAGTGCACGTTTACTATATAGGTATACTGAAGCTCGCTGCTACATAAAGAGTATATTTCGATAGAGTCAGTGTGTCAATGTTGCAGCGAACATGAATATCAGTGTAGTCAGTGTCCCAACAGACTGTGTGTCAGTGACAAACTGTTCAGTACTTCAGTGTTTACCTCAGCATTGGACATTCTTATCCTCTTTTTGGTTATCCCTCATCTTTTTGGAGTATCCGGAAAATGGCTCATCAGATAAATTTGAAACTTTCAAGACAGGAAGATTTTTACAAGTAGAGAAAAACTTATCATAGACTCAAAGTTCCAGAATGTTGTCTTCTATGAGATGCTCGCTCGCATTACAATGACAAAAAATGGGTTCCGTTTCTCTGAAATGTTTTTTTTACAGGCACTAGACACTGTTTAGAGTGAATATCCTTATATGCTGTGTCCTTCGAATATGAAAAGTCAAGATACCGAAGGCATGCTAAAGAAAACGCATATTTTTGTTAATAGAACTGTCAAAAGTCAGCAAAACAATATTTTTTTGAAACAAAAAGAAATATATCGATCCCAAAAAGCATATAGTATGTGTGAAAAAAATTTGATTTTGATTGGAGAAAAGGACGGTGTTTCTACATTTTTTTCATGAAAAATATAATTTGAGAAAAACACGATTTGCTATTTTCGTTGTGTAAATTTGATTTTTTAACGATTAAAGAATACTACTTCAGATTATACAATGACCAAAAACAAAATTGGGTCACGAAAGATAAATATCCTTATGTTCCCGTTCTTAAACTATAAATTATGAATCAACCTAAACATCGTAACTAAGAAGTCAAGCATGCAATGTCATCTCACAAAAAAAAGTCATTTGAGGATGTATTTTCAAATGTTTTTAGTTTACCTTATGCCGAAATAATGTATTTTGAAAAGAAAATATTTATCTAGTAGAAATTTTGTAGAATACTAACCGTGCAATATATGTTGGAAGATATGGTAATGGAAGAATACGATCTAGTTCATTATTATTTGAATTATTTAGTCCAAATTGTGTCATGTTACAAAATAAACTTATTTTCTTGTCTTATGAGAAAAAACATAAAATACTTTTCTTTTTCTTTTGCTTCTTCCACAAGGCCAACGTAAATGCTATTTTCTTTATATGCCCTTAAACTATTTCACTTTTAACCGTTTCAAAGTAAAAAAAAAAAAACAACAACATATGTGCCATTATGATGAACAAGAATGTAACTTTTTTCGTTTTTTTTTCTAGTTTCTTGAAAAAAAAATTGAATGTTACATATTGAACAAAAAAAAAAAAAAAGAAAGAACATCTTGAACTACACCGACGCGTTCTATAATATAAGGTTAAAACAGACAACACATAGAGAAAAAGAAGAAAAAAAAAAAAAGACAATCTTTTGTCATCCATAGAAAGTTAACCGCATTAAAAACGAACAATTGTTGTTGTTGTTGTTTTTTGTTTTCTATAATATAATAGTGGCAAAAGAGAAAATATATCTAACGCACGACGTTGAAGAAAAATAATGTGTAAATAGTTTTTTTTATACATATAATGACGATTTTATATACAAACATGATGAACACAAAAATGATGATGTTTACACAACAGACAAAAAGAAAACGATATTTTCTAAATGAATTCAAGATGATCCTGTCGATCCATAATTCATTAATTCAGTAAACGCACGTTCGAATGCTTGATGTAATTCGGAATAACTAACGATCATAACATTTTGTTCATCACGTGATGTAAGACAGATTTTATCATGTGAACCAGCATCGAACTAGAAATATATATAAAAAAAAAACGAATAATTATTTTTTTAATATTTCTTTTTTAAATACTTTATTTAGACATTGAATAACATGTGCCATATCCATAATCGGTTCACCCTCGAAACCAATTGAATGAAATATAAAATCACGAAACAATTTTAGAATGTAACGATCACCTGTTTCTGACCAAGCTTGATTTAATGAATGTCTTGAAAAGAATTTCATTCATTTATATCTATTAATAAGAATAATTTTACATACTCAGGTCGTTCGAGTAGTGTATTGAGTTTACAAATCAGTCGAAATAAACGACCACAATCAAGTTCCTATAAAATATTAAAATTGAAGTGTATAGAGCAAAAAATTTTTGTCCTTATTTTTGACGGCTTCTTCAAACTGCATTTGGCAGCTTCATACGCTCGTAACGGTACTCGGAAAGTAGAGCGCTTTGTGAGAATAACTTCACAAACTCATCCATTTTTTTTTTTATAGTTATTGGACTTCAAGTATCGGGATTCCGGAATTTTATCATTGACGAAAGCCTTAATGAGCGAGATTCCGGCTATCTCAAGGATCATTATTACTCAGAGCATATCAGAAGTGATCAGATTTATATTACATCAAAGTTAACTTGACGAAAATGATAGTACTACTATAAGTGCGCTATATTTCTGTGCATTGCATAATCTCTAGTGAATCAATATAATTACATAAACAATTCATATATATTCCTATTATCGGATAAATAAGAAAAATTGGTTCATGAGGAGTGATATTTTGTTAAAAGTGATTGAGTTCTATTTTACAGTACGTTGTTGCAGAATGCAGAGCATATCCATCTGAAACATACCATTTTATACACGAAGTTCGGCGCCAGCAACAGGACCTGGTCTATCTTGTAGAGAATTTTTTTCTGATTAAAACGTACGTGGTGAAAAACTCGGAAGTGATGCGCGACTTGAGATAGAGTCAAAATACTTTTATGCTGATAGTGGTAAGCTGCTTCCAGAACAAAAATTTTGACTCCTTATATTTTTACATGGTTGAATAGAGCTCGTCGAGCTGATCACAAATATCACCTTTGAAATATTTTTCGATCGAATTTTGGCTGAAAAATCTTCGAAATATGAGTAACACGCTCAAAACCTGGACTTTTGAGTATTTTTCAGGAAATTTCAAGATTTCGCTCATTTAGACCAATGGTACATCTTTGAAACTAATTAATTGGGATTTAGCGTCAGAAAATGAGTCGAACTGTGTAGTTTTTAATTAGTTTCAAAGATTTACCATTGATCTACATGAGCGAAATCTTCAAATTTCCTGAAAAATACTCAAAAGTCCAGGTTTTGAGCGTGTTACTCATATTTCGAAGATTTTTCAGTCAAAATTTGACCGAAAAATATTTCAAAGGTGATATTTGTGATCAGCTCGACGAGCTCTATCCAACCATGTAAAAATATAAGGGGTCAAAATTTTTGTTCTGAAAGCAGCTTACCACTATCAGCATAAAAGTATTTTGACTCTATCTCAAGTCGCACATCACTTCCGAGTTTTTCATCACGTACGTTTTAATCAGAAAAAAACTCTCTACAAGATAGACTAGGTCCCGTCGCTGGCGCCGAACTTCGATGTAAACGTGGTATGTTTCAGATGGATATGCTCTGCAGATAATAAATAATTCTTTTTGATGTAAGGAACAAAAGATCAAAATGCTTTTTTAAATCGTTTTCTATATGATTGAATTATTATAGGTTCTTTGATATGTAAAGCTAAATAGAACGTTGATTAGTTTATAATAAAGAATTATATTATCTTTTTCATCAAATAGCAACACTATTGTTCTTATGATGTAAGAAAGAAGAAAAAAAGATAAACGACTACAGTCAATATGAAAGAATTAAAAAAATGATTATAGTGATATTTCTCACGAATTGAAATGGTTACATATAAATACTGAAGCACTAACTACAAGAAGAAAAAAAAAACATTACCTTGTTATTACTAGTGTACATATTAGTACCTTAATTCTACAATTTTTCATTTGTTTGCTTCTTTCTTTGATCTTAAAATTTCAACTAATGTTATTCACTAATAAAACATCTTATTTTGGCTTGTGAAACTACGAATGACAGCAGTATTAAAATGATTGATTCATAGCTATGGTTTCTATCAGAGCTGGAACCGGTAAGAAATTTTGAAAACGGTCCGGTCCGGCCGGTTGAAAAATTCAGCCGGTCCGGTCCGGCCGGAAAACGGCCGTTTATAAGTTGTTCTTGAACCGGTGAATTTCCGGCAAACTGAATAGGTACTGATATGAATACAAGTAATGCTTCTGTGTTTTCGATGTAGATTGTTGAAAAAAGTTCGGCTTTGAACTATGATTTTCAACGTATATTTCAGAGAACTATAATTCTTGATGAAATGTGATTAAAGTTTGCTCAATTCTGTAGAAAAAAGCTTGTTAGCGCAGCTCCTGCGGAGCTGAAATGTGGCACTCACGTATACCTTTAGCTTTGTTACCTGACGCATCATCTGTATACTGAAAGACTTCTTGTCAGCTATAGTTGCTTTCATTGAGAATCGATGAAAAGAGCGGGAATTTATTATTTGTTTGGATATTATAAAAATATATTAAGCGCGCTCGATTTCATTTATAATCATTGCTATATACTCGATAATAATCATTTTTTTTGTTTTTTAATTCGAAATTATTTTTCTCCACCATCGACTATTTGATGAATAGAACTATTAGAATAATGTAGGTTATATGCATTAACAACTATCACACTAGCTTATATCTTAATTAATCCATAATGCCGATATTGTTTATTATTCACACTGACAAAAAGATCGAATCATACATCTCATATTAATTATATGACTGCTGTGATAGATCAATATATATGATTACTTTGTCTCCTTGATTTTTAACATGCAATTTCAAATTAAAAGAAAGATCCACGACTACATTATTACAAACTTTAACAAATATATAATAGTTTTTTCAAATAACTAGGAAAGTATTAAGATATTATATAGCAGTCGACCTGATATTCTTAATATTGTTTAACTCGCTTCTTTTTATTGCTAAATAAATCTGCAGCGTTTTATGCGCGGTTAATGCAGTCTGTAATAGGGGGGGGGGGGGGGATATGTATATAATATTCTTTTTGGTTGCTATGGTCTGTAAGGGGGTGGGAGAGCCGCAAAACCTCGAACTTAAAACTTCCAGTCACTATTTTCTTGGAAAATATATGTGAGTTCCAGAAAACGATTTTTATAAATAAATAGTCAATTTTCTTTTGGTATTGAAATTGTTCTAAATAAAAGGATAAAAATTACTTTTATAAATAAGTACTTTCTGTTCATTGTAATGCTAAGATTGATCTAACTCATGCCGTATATTGCATTGAACTACGGTGGTATATCGACAGTCAAAAAAAAAATACAGAAGTAGATGAGTATTTGTCTCGATAACTTTTTTTCTTTTATTTAGATCAATATAAATATAAAAATGAACAGTATGTATTTACTTAGCAAAAATTTTTTTTCCCTTTATCAATTCAATTTACGGATGAAATTGATGATATAGATAATAGGGACCTCTAGCGAATAATTCTCATTGGAAAATAATCAACTTATGTCATATAAAAAACATAATGAATGAATAAATGAATGAATCGTTTGTAAATGTTATGAAAAATTAGCAAGGGAAAATGCAAAATCTATTTTTATTAAAATGTACTAAAATTGTTCATTCAAATATTCGTTTATCTTCATCATCAATAAAACCTTCGATAATTTCTCGTATTCGATATGTTCTTCATCATTATTGGCTTGGATCGAAATTACTTTATCAGAATTATAAATCTGTTCAACAAATTCGAAAAAAGTTTGTTTCTTTTTTATCTTATTTAAAATAAATTTATTTTTTTTTTTAAATAAAATAAATGTAATATAGAGATGTAAATTCGTTAACACGGATTGACAATTTAGCATTAGAACAATTTCGTTATGATATTCGTATTGGAGCTCCATTTGTTTTATTATTTGCAATACCCGTTATTGGTTACAGTGCACCAGTTATTGCTCTTATAGCTCCAAAATATCTTCCATCAACATTAATTATGCCTAAACAAAAGGTTTTACATAAAAGATTATTGAATTTTTCTTAATAAGATAAATAAATTTTAGGCTAAATTCTTAAAAGATGATGCACATGCATCATCATTAATAATTGATTCGTTATATGAATTTGGTCAAAAGCAATACATTTATGAAAACATTCATGGAATAATATCGATTATGCAATTTATAAATCAAGTAAACAAATAGACGACTAATTTTCTGTTTTTCTCTGTTGCTATTCCTTACTATCAAAATTATTTTTATCTTAACGAAAAAAAAATTAATAGGAGACGAAAGTTGAAATTATTCGACAGTTACGTTATCAGATGACTATCGATGGATCTCTTATCAGTTACCAACTAACAGCAAATGGAAATGAATAATGAAAAACTTTCGAGTTTATCAACGAAAGGCTTGTTTTTTTCGAAAGTAGCCGTTTTTTCGAAAGATTTACCGGCTTGAAGAGTCTTAATGTTTATCACTGAATTGGAAAAACTTTTGATAAATGTTTATTACGAATTGTTATTTTCGAAAAAAGGCTTTCATTAATAAATTCAAAAGCTTTCTGTTATTCGCTTCTTGATAACTGGTTACAGATCCGTTATCAATTACTTACTTATGCGAGGGTAAGTTAGCATTTCTCAAAACAAATTTTTTCTACCTTAAGATAACAATTAGAACTGTCGTCAATTTCGGAATTTTTTAAGAATCGAGTTCATTCAATTAAATTACTTTTCGAGATAACTTCAATTTATGAATATTTGTTTTCATTCAAACCGTGAACTAAGACTTAAAATGTCTGTCAAATACGAATTTTGAACGAAGTCAACGATTTTCCTTAAGACTTAAACAATGAGAGTCACATCAATTTATATAAAAAAGACTTTTGTTTTTTCTTTTTTTAACTAAAATAAATTTATCCCTTTTAATAAAATGCATACGAATACAAAGAAAATCAATTAAATATAATTAGTGTGTTGAATATTATCTAAGAATGAGTTAACGTCTCAAATTTGGTTCGATTTCGTCTAGCTGCTTCGACAAAAAAATACGAAAAATTGATCATTTTTCAAGATTCTCTTCATCGAATATTGATTTTTATAGAGAATAGCTATTCAATTATCAATCAACACAGGGATTTATACAAAGACTATGCATCAAATTATACGAAAAGCTAGTACGAATTCAATATGTGCATATTCTCTCTTTCTCTCTTCTCTTTTGAATCAACAAATTCAAAAAATCTGTTAATAAGAAAGTATTTCTCATCAAAATTATTTTTCTTCTCTGCTTAGATTTTCATTAGTAAAATTTTCTACTTAATTTCCATACAAGTCAATATTTGAAGAAAAATTTATGATAAAAAAAAAATTTATTATCGACACCAGAATTAAGTACGAAGTGGATGTAAGACGAATATTTAGAGAACGGCAATCGTTGTCGATCTGTGCCTTTCATCAATCGAAAGAAATAGGATAACGACGTGTTTTGATATAATATTATGCAAGGTTAAATCATTATCTAACTAAACATCATTGTAAATCTTTCTGAAAAATGTACAATAATGCAATGTAATTCTAATGAAGTTTTGAGTTTGATATACACACTACATAGATAGACTTCAGCATCTGTACTCATATTTATATAGCTTAGATGATCATCTTCTTTCTTCTTAATACTGATTAAACAAAAATAAGTTACTATTTGATGTGTGAATAGATAATTATTTTAATCCAGAAGTAAATTTTTATTGATTACTTATATATATAAGTAACCAATAAAAATTTACTTTCAAATTAAGATAATCATCTATGAATTACATTTTATTATTGTGCATTTTTCAGAAAGATCGACAAAGATATTTACTTAGATAATGATTTAATCTTGCGTAATATTATATCAAAACACGTCCTTATCCTATTTCTTTCGATTTATGAAAGGCACAGATCAATAACGATTGTCGTTCTCAAAATATTCGCCTTATATTCATCCCGTATACTTAATTTTGGTGCCGATAATAGTTACATATATCAATGAAAATCTCGACAAACGAACGGCTTTTAAAAATCTATTTTCTACAAATGTTTTTCTTAGCAAACAAATAATTAATTCGGTAATATGGCAAAAACAAAAAAGATAATTTGATTATGTTTGATAATTCAGAAAAAGACGTAAGGAAAGTTAGCAGCGAATTCGAGTTTTTCCTGCTGATATTCTCTCTTACACTTGGATTGAGTCTGTTCTTGCTTGGACTATGTTCAGAATTCGATTCTGCATCGAATGATACTATTTTTAAGGGAGGAGGCCATCGGACAAAAATCAGGAGTTTGGGCCCAACTACTGGGAATGAAACTCCCCTTGTGTGGGTCTGTGTGTGAGTGGATATGGGTTTGCGCGTGAGTGTTGGTAAGAGACTTCTGTCTTCCCGATTCATCAATACTCACATCCACACCTCAAGCGCAATCCGACACCCGATTTCGATTAATAAAGCATCAATCGTACGTCTGCCTTGTGATAGTCCAATTAAATGTACTAATGCTGAATTACCACTGGTACTTGCATTAATCGTAAAGTAGTAATTAAATCAACTACTCATGACACACATGAACAATTAACATTTATTCCACAGTCGATCAAAAATATGACAACGCAACTAATATCCACTTTATAAATTAAATGTTAAGAATTCGCTCAAAGATACACTTTGCGACGTAAAAGATAAAAGATTAGCCATGAAAAATGATATTAAAGAGATCGCTGTAATGATATTGTTGACATGTTTACTTGTTCTTCTTTCACTCATTTTTTTATTTTTTCGATGGATCAAATGTATGGTGGAGAAACATGTTGATAAACTCGAAAAAGATGTAGATAATCTTGTACATGAGTTAGTTTAAATTGTAAGCAAAAAAACTAATAAAAATATCAATAAACTTCTTCTATTGTTTTCTATCTTTTTTTTTGTTTTGAATGAAAACAATCACGGCATCATCATATCATTGGAGCTACCTTCTCCATATGGAAAAAAGTTATCCCTACTTTTTACACTTATCTTCTTTTTTCCTTCTAAAAAAAAACACATCTTTCCCATATACCCGAAGTGTGACAATTTTACATATAATGAGCGTTCATTATAACCAGAACAATATTCATCCATATAAGCTATATTGTGTGAAGGAACATCAACTCTCACCATGAAAACGGTGCTACTAGTGACAAAACGATCAAAGGTACTTTGACCTTTAATCACTTCAATCACAAAAATAAACATATGACACATATGACCCATCAAAAAAAAATCAGATAAACGAAAACAAAAATCCCTCAGTAGCAATGTTTCCATATTATCTTTGTCTATGTCCGTAGCTTTTCATATGTCACGCAGCAGCATTTTCCCAACTTCAGTCACCTAATCCATACGTTAAAGCTAGTATCAAAGTACCGTATTCAAAACGAAAAATAAACCAAACTGTTCCATTGAATAGATAGTATTCACGATGAAAACAGAAACAATCGGAATATCACGTGAGTGACGATCAAATCTCCAACTTTTGTTCGATAATTCCCCTGAAAAATAGTATAATTTGATGCAGAATTCAATTCTGCAGATAATCCAAGCAAGAACAGACTCAATTCAAGTGTCGAAACGAATATCAGCAGGAAAAATTCGAATCTGCTGCTAACTTCCCTTATGTAGAAAAAGAAGAATTTTTTTTTTTCTGTGAAAAAATGTTGAAAATAAAAAACTATTAATTGAAAGGTATCAAACTCTGCTGATCGATTTAAAGAAATAATGTCATCAATTCCATTATATTCATCATTATTTAATAAATATATTAGTTTATCATCAATTGATCGTAAACATTTATTAATACTTCATAAATCTGTATTACATTCATCATTTATTGCTGATTATATTTTAACTAATTATTCAATTGAAAATGATCTTGAAATGTGGCAACATCGAATATTAATTGATGATAAAAAACTAACAAATATAAATAAACTTAATCAATATGAATTAGTATTATCTCTTTATTCTCGTGGTCTTTATCTTCATTTAAATGATATGGCAAAAGTTTTTCAATATGAACAAACAAACAATCTAAATAAAGTTGAGAAAACAAAGTTGAAAAAATTAAATGAAAAAATTGAAATTAATGAAAATATTTTAAATGATTGGAAAGAATTATTATATAAATGGATTCAAATTCATGAGAAACTTTCGAAATCAAATCAAATATCTACAAGTTTTCTTGTTCATATAACATCTTTACTTACAAAACAATAAAACTTTAATTTAATTCATTTATCTTTTTTGAAAGAGAAAAAAAAACAAAAGAACATCAATTGGATTTATTTGATTTAAATATTTAACAAATCTGAAGAATAAATGGCACTGTGATATTCTTTATGAAAGGTTTTTTTGTAAATTGGATTTGTTTTTAAATAACATATTGATGAATATATATCATAGGTAAAAGCACGACAAGATAATATTTGAAGACACCATAAACAACATGTTGACCATGTCATAGAATTATTTGACATTAAATTAATACCAATTAAATCAACATTTTTCATAAAGATTAAACTTTGACAAGAATACAAATCTAGAAATAAACTATAATTACATTTTGACTTATTAACACATTCGAGGCGATGTGGCCCACTGGTGGGCAACGCTATACAGGATTGGTAAAAATATCATTCCAGGGAGTAACACTATTATTTCAAATAGCTAACACAACTAATTTTATACCAAATGAAACTCCATTTAGCGCGCTTTAAACTAGTATAAAATTAGTTATAATAGCTATTTGAAATGATAGTGATACTCCCTTGAATAATACTTTTACCCACACTATATAGTGTGGCCTACCAATAGGCGAATCGCCTCGAATGTGTTAATATAATATATTTTAATATCTTACCCAATTTTCGAGTTGACAAATTTGATTCTAATTTAAAAGAAACGATATTTTCATGATGATTATTTCATTTTATTTATATAGAAATAATTAAATATATCTTAAAACAAATCTCAAAAACATTAACATTTTTAACTCTTATCGACATTTTTTCTTCAGAGATTTTATTAATGAATTAAACTCGTTATACAATGAAATTTTTAATTTATTCTCTAGTTGTATAATTGATTTGGACAATCTATACAATGTTTATTTGGCTTGGCTACAGTTTTATTCCGGAGACTTTCTTTGATCAACTAACAAAAAAATTTCGCTAAGTAAAATCAAGATAAAGAGATAAAAATAGTCGCATTATATAATCAACGAAAATTTTATTATGTGGAGAAATAGAAAAATACATTTAATACAGATTGATTAGACATTTAACTATTTTTAGGTTCATAATATAGATCATCCTTATTAGATGTGTCAAATACATTCATTTATTGATAACAAAGAGAAGATAATCTATTTTAATAAACATTTAAATTCAAGAGATCATTTAAATAATATTGTTATTATTAACTAATAGTAATATTCTAGGACGTGTTTTCATCTTTTTTGAATTTGTTATTGCTCTAATCTAATTTAATTTAATTTAATCCTAATCATTATTGATTTCTTCAGTCTCTTGAATGTATCTTATCCAAAAGCAAACATTCAGATACGTTGAACAATGAAAAATTAAATTGCATGGTCATGATAATCCTCTATGTGTTTGTTCGTCTTTGGTCATATTATAATTAAATCGAATAAGTTCAAAAAATATAGTTTTTAAATATTATATCATTCGTATCAGATTGTGTGGCAATTACAGAAATGTTATCATGGTACATGATCGATAATTTTATTATTCACTTATCAATATTTCTATCGCATTAAATACTTTCGTTCACATCGCATAGTAAAAAAAAAGGCCTGAACGACAAGCGCCGTTCACCATTAGACTAGATCCATAGAGATAATATCCTCTCTTGAATCGAACTGCCTGGACTAGGTATCTTACTATTTCTACTTATTGTTTGTTTCCATAATAGGAATATTTTTATCCTTCTACCTCGATTCTATTTTTCGGATAATATTTTTTCCAATTAGGAAAAATATCCTCCAATCAAGAAGAGACGGTTTATTTCGTATTATATTCTATAATATATGTTTAATTGAATGATTAATATTGATTTAAATTGATTATTGAGAATAATTCTCTTTAAAATATTCAAATAATGAATTATCATTAACAGAAATAATTAAACAGAAAATAAAGAAAATAAATTTGATTAAATATTTCTAAGAATAGATTTATTTAGAGCAAAAAAGAGTAAAATTTATTTCATATGGAGATATAAATATATTAAAGAAATAAAATTATTTTTTAGTCGAAATATTAAATAAAAACTTTTCTATATTTATCAGCTATTATAAAAACGAAAATTCTTCTATTAAATTCGTTCGAATTCGATTATTGTGTCGATTCACTCGAATGAATAATTTTATTGAAATCGATTAGAAAAATATCAATTCGTATGGTAATATTAATACTTAAGAAAATGATAATATTATCAATGCATTAATACAATACTCGTCATTCAATTATTGATTTATATTCAATTATAATTAATTATGATGAGAAGTTAGGAAAATTATCGAAATCAATAGAACTTATCAGCACATCTATTTGAGACCGAATGTCTCATGACTTTTTTAGTGACTTTTGTTGATTACCCGGCGAAAAAAAAACAATATTAATTGAAATTCATCAGAAAAAATTGCTCCGTAATAATTTTTCAATATTCGATAAATTTAATATATTTGTCTATGGTATATGGCTCGTATCTATTTTATCATCGAATATATGACTAAACAGTCTACAACATATTTTTTTGTTTAATCATTGAAATAATAATAATAAAAACTATTGAAAAAATAACAATGAATCTTATGAAACGATTTTAATCGAGATTATTTCTAATAAAATCAATTATAGATATAGACATTCATTATTATATATTAAATTTAATTTTTTTCAATATTAAAAAGAAAAGCAATTTATTTTTCTATGAAGATAAATATTATTTTTTTTATATTAAAAACAATCTTATTATATAAATCAGTAATAGACATTTATTATTATGATATAACTATTTAACATTTGTCTATTATTCGAGAAATTCTTTTTTGAAGATTTTGTTTAAATGTTTTAATCGTTTTTTTTTGTTTTTTGAAAATATTTTTTATTATTTGAAATATTTCTCGAAATTTATTTTAATATCAGACTTTTAACTGAATAGAAATCTTCTATTATTTTATTTCTCAATAAATAATTATTTTCTTTATTTTTTGATTAAAATAAAATAAAATAAAATGATAAATGTCAACATGCAATCATTTTTTTCTCTTGAAATTGGAGTAATGCTTTTTTTTTACGTCTTATTTTTCTTTGATTTTTTTATGATATGTAACAAAATTCTTCGAATATAATCTAAACATTATTGTCAAAAACATGACTATACTAAATTTCAAATAAAAACAAAGAAAAAATAAAACTTAATTAGACATTAATATTTATATACTGTATAATTCTATTGATAAATAAATAGTTATGTTATATTCTTATTAAGAAAATCGAAAAAGAAAAAAAGTTAAAAAAATATTTTTTTTTATTTACCAATTTGTATTCTGTTATCTGTCATTCTTCTATCTAAATTAAGAAATATTTAATAAATATTCTTTTTAAATAAT